TGATCTTGTAACCAACATCTCATCAGATCACTCTTGAGTCCGAGTGGATGTTAATGCCAAATGAAGAAGAAATGGGACAATAAAACCCTAACAAAGCCACTCACTGGCATCATAACAATAATGTAATTGTACCAGTAATGACTTGAAGCAAGTTCAGTCAAGCAAGTTTAAAACGTTTGGAAACTGAGTTGCATCATACTATCTACAACTGCATCAGACGTCCACAACATTTCTGAATCACAGCATGTCATTTGTAGTGAATAGGCTCAAATGTGCCAAAACACCTGACAGGTGTAACTGACAAACACATGTTGTTAGTTATGAGTACAAGAGAAGAGAGAAAGGCCAGTGTTGCTCCAGCCAAATATTTGGAATTCATTTTTGCGACCATGTTCAAAGCATGCACACGCATGTACACAGAACCTGTGAACGCACACAGCCAACATTCAGATCAATCCTGCACGCCGAGTTGGTTTTCTGGCTGATGGATTGAAATATTTTGAATGTCATTTTTTGTTTTGATGTTTTGTCAGAAAATGTGTTTAAGTAATAGCACTTAGTTTTAGTTTGTAAACAGATACACTAAAACAAATGTACCTTTGTATTGCATATGGCTTTTTCCACCTTGTACAGTACATGAAAGGAAGATATCTTATTTAAAAAGGCCCTATTATCTCGAAAGCTGTTGACCAATCACAACAGAGCTGGCCAGCTAACCAATCAGAGCAGACTGGGCTCTGGTTTCAGACAGAGGGTGAAAGGAGGTGCTGCAGCACAGGCAGGATGAGAAGAATAAAGAGCTTTTGAATATGAAAGTATGGAGACATGTCCCAGTAGAGACAACACATATGAATATGAACCAGAACATTTGCAGAATAGGGCCCCTTTAAATCATGTTTTCTTTCATACAGTAATGTGGGATTCTTTTTGTTTCCTTGAAATGGACTCGGTTCAGAATGCATTCCTGTTGCATGGTACAGAATCAGGTTTATTATTATAACGCCACAAGCTGCAGGTTAACCCCCAAAGCCAGTGGTGAACACTCACTCCGAGCTATCAGTACCTCATTCAAGACCCACATCCAAGAACAGAAAGTATGTGAAGGAGTTTGGGGTCAGTTTGCTTTCAAGAGATTTTCTTTTCTTTGAGATATTTAAATATATTTTGCATGAAGTGGTTGCCATATCCAGACCTGTATGTAAGTGATAATGAATGCCATGTCATTAAGACATATCACTATTTATGGTTTGAGCTGATTGCATCAGAAGTACAGACCTTGAAATGTGCAGCACATACAGTTTAATGGTGCTTTGCTATTTTGGTACATATTCATCTCCATATTTACAACTTTTTTAAAGTGCATTAGGTTCCTCCGAACAGAAATGGTTGCTTTTCTTTTTAATGTTCTAACTTACATTTTAAGTTTTATTCAGACATAATTTTGCTACTGGGCATACAACAGTGTCTAGTGTCTTTTAATTTATTTAAATGATATGCACTCGTAATAATCTCAGTTAGATTTATGAAGCCTGTAATGTAAAAGAAATGCAAGTGAACTTTTATTCTCATTCATCAATAAAGGAAATTCTATGAAGCGGTTGTTTTGTTGCTTTATTTTCTGAAACAGGGAGGCTCTTCAGTGACTCGGTTCTGATGGAGCAAAGATAACATGGCCATAGACATTCGGTTTAAACCTCTTCACTTTTATGAACATGTGCTCACAAATAACATTGAACTAAACAGTATATGTAACAAAGACTATACTGCAAGAGAGCTTCGGCCCACAGAGAAAGAAACACGTAAGCAGCTAACCCTAAACTAGGGAGCATTTCTCTTTCAGAGCATTATGTCACAATCAGAAACAGGTTTATTACCAGGTAGGTTTTACACCTACGAGGAATTTGACTTGGTGTCGTGGTGCATAAAAACAGGAATTAAAAACACAGGTAGAGGACTAGAAAAATATTAAAAATATAACAGTACAGTACATATAACGGCAGCGGTTCCCAACCTTGTTCCCGAGAGCCCCCCCAAATGACTCCTGTTGGAAGTTGCGAATCTTGCCATTTCACAGAAAATCCTACCTGATGTTTGTTAGCAATCGTCTGAGTTCATCTATTATATTAAATATATTATTGCAAAACTATTTATCCACATAAAATACATTCATACCCATACATGCCGACCTTTCCAAATCCAAAAGAGGTAGGTTTGCGCTCGGCAAATGTGCACGCCCAAATGAGGTAATCAGAAGAAATGGAACCCCAGTAATTACATGTATAAACCATGTATTTAACATATATTGCATCATTTTATGCATTTTTCAGAAAAAGTGGTAGTTTGGTAAACAGTGACATCAACGACATGTTTGGTCTGTAAAATGCCCGAAAAGTAAAAGAATGGGAGATAAATATCCCAAAGTCTCCACATTTTATTATATTTGTAATGTGTTTCTAGTCCTCTTTCAGTTGAGACAGTGTAGATGAAGGATGTGTCAGGATGTAGAACTCTTGTCTGAACATTGGATAAAGCCAGGTTCATATTCTTGTTTCATGTTGTTGACATATTAGAGTCAAAGGTTTGGACAGAGCGAAATATCTTTGTGTTGCGCCACAAATCAGAAAATACTGCATTAAAAAAAGTAATTTCCTGCATTTTGCTACTGATAAAGTGTGATATAAATAATGTACAGGCTTTCAGATTGATGTAGTTCACTAAACAGAGACATTAACGACATGTTTGGTGTTGAAAATGTCAGAAAAAGTGAAAGAATGGGAGATAAATATCCCCAAATCTCAAAATTGTATTATATTTTGTGTGTGTGGTCCTCTTTCAGTTGAGACACTGTAGGTGAAGGATGCTTCAGGAAAAGACCAAACACTGGATGTCTTTCAGTCACCAACATGTGTTTTCGAGACATTGATATTTACGGGGAAACCCTGCAGGACTCAAATGCCTCGTCTCTGTTCCCTCACTCATTTGGGAGTGATTACCCATCAGCCCCGGGGGTGCAGAGGAAAGGCAGCATTACCCCCGGTCTGCACGTTGTTTCTCTTTCAGAAACACAGAGGACTGTTTGTATGATGGGATCACAGACACGCTGCAAACGGTGTCCGCCAAAAGTCGAGTCCAGTGTCTATGTAGTGTCATTTTTATTCGCTATAGTTTGGGAAGAATTTAGATTGAAATGAGACATGAACACTGGGGGCTTGAATGTGTGATGAGAGAAGAACATAAAGTAAAAAGGTTTGGAAAAGCAGCAGAACATTTGAACTGCAAACTTCTGAACTAACTTGATGGTGAATGATCTGTCGCCATGGCAACGGCATTTGATGACACTCCATAATACGGTTAGATGCGTTGATGGCTGCATCGTTACCAAACCTGTGAAGTTTTGGGCTGTTTGGAGCATTTTCACTGAAGTTATGAGAAAACCGTGTTTCATGGCGAGCATTGTGTTGCCATGGCAACGGCATTTGAAGAAAACCCCATAATTGACTGAGGGCTGGACCGGTGATATACAAGCGAAGTTTGGGGGACGATCGGACCGTGTCCATTGGACTTACAGCAAAATCGTGCTTCATGGCGAGTGGTCTGTCGCCATGGCAACAGCATTTGATGACACCCCATAATACGCTTAGATGCATTGATGGCTGCATCGTTACCAAACCTGTCAATGTGACATCGTGTTCCATGACACAGGTGTTTATATTTGAGCTAACGACGACAGCTGTGTCTCACCAATAATGTATAAAATAGGTGGAACATGTTGAAGTCTCCATCAGACAGAAAATAGGCTCTCTGTTAAAGTCCAGTGACCACGTCGTTAGCTCAAACACAACACCTGTGTGTTACGACATCATCGTGTTCCATTACACAGGTGTTTATAGTTGAACTAACGAGGTGTGCAGAGATCACAGGTTTCCATTGTTCTGAATGACAGATATACCTCTTACATGTGAACGTTTTGTGGAAGAACCGTAACAGATATCTGGGAAATTTCAAAACGTGAAGCATGTCAAGGAAGTTGAGTATCTGAAGTGTAATTTTTGTGTACTTTCGGGTTAATAATGTGGCCTTTTTGGCAGTTTAACTAAAGGTGTGCGGCTGCTAACATGAGGAAATATCAGCCTGAAATTACAATGGGCTTCAATGGAGGAATGTTGAACGTTTTTGTCACTTAATGCCCTCAAGAGGCATTTTGTTGAATTATTTTTTGCTTAATTATTTGTCATTTTTCAAGCTACGAGATGTTTTCCTACGTTTGTCAAGAACAATTATGTCTCAGGAATGTAGGGTTTGGGAATTATGGCAGTTTAAAAAAAAAAATAAGGCAAATTTCAAACTGTCCTCCACTCTAACTCTGACATCACGCACTCTGCCTTAACGAGCAGCGCAATGTTAAAGTTAAAATGTTAAACATTTGATGAATTATGGGCTATATCTCGGGAATTATGAAAGTTATGAATGATAGAAGTAATAGCCATCGATTCCCGACCGAGCTGAACGTTTGAATGGAGTTTCTGCCATGTGGAATGTGGGAGAAGAAGAGGGCCAAAATAACTGGCGGAATAATAAAGAATTTCGTGCGTAGAAGAACATTAGTGGACGTAAGGAACAAAAACAGTTATCTTGGACCGTAAATTACGAGATATAAAATGAAAAGATCTGTTTATCTTTTCATACATAACCATGCTCAGAAGCCTGACACCAGCTGATCTCATGGTCATAGTGCAGCACTCTATACTTTACCTTATTGCACTAAGACATGTTACACAGCCCTGAAATAACCAGCGCTGCAACATTCTTGCTAGAAAGCTGACAAAGTGTGTTGTGTTTCATCGGAGAGTTAGCCATAGCCTACCTTTCATTCAGCGGTGCGTTCACAGTGACTACACAGAGCTGCATCCTACTGTAATACTGGGGTCATGTACTGACAACAAGTGGCCACTAGGTGGAGCGCTGCTCCAACATAAATATCCAGCAGTGGACAAAAGTACTTTGTTCTGTCAGAGATAACGTTTTATTTTGATCAGTGCACAAGATTTAACTGAATAGTGCATAACAAGAATACTGGAGGCACATATGTGATGGGATACATCACATATATTATCATCTTACATTCATTGCTGTCTCAACCTAAGAAAATATATATAGTTTAGAATGTGAAGGGCAGCTTAGAAAAAAAAGACGTTCTCCAAACAAAATAGTAATAAATAAGTCAAATATTCTTTACACTCTCATTTTTGTGTAACGTAAAAAATATATTTTTTAAACATTTCCCTCTCATTTTTGGTAAATCATATTTTGTGAAAATATTCTTCAAAATCATAACAATAATACTGTAGGAACCTATTGAGGGACAACTTGCTACATACAATTGGGGTCATGTGATGAATGTTTGGTCCATGTTGGAGCAGCTCTCCTCAGTCTGCACACACACTGAAAGTAAAAAAACAGGGGGGGCAGCCATTAGCATTCAAAGCTACAGACACAGAATCAGCACTTCGAGAACAGGGTTTATGGGATGCTACATGAGACCTTTTATTTACTGATGAAAAAGAGTATAATAGGGGACCTTTAATTAATATTCAGGTACTTGTACTTTAGCTAAGTATTTTTCATTTAATGCTAATTCTACTCCATTATATATTACATACATATTTTTGAGAAATCCAATATAGTACTTTTTCACTCCATTACCTGACCTTTTTTAGTTTACAGATTCAGATTGTTAGCTCACACAAAATATAAATCCACTAATAAATAAACATTGACATTATTATAGGAGAAGATATGCAGTAGCAGTATATTAAGTAATGAATATTAGCTGTAGTTTTACCGGCTGTGATGAACACATGAATGCATCAATAATCAGAATCCAGTCATGTTGTAGATGATTCTGAAACCAGATATTACGCATAACGAGTACTTTTACACAGTATATTTTGATGCCAATTATTTTGTACTTTTAGGTAAGATTATGAACGTGTTTTGAGTCGCTCTGGTAATGGAAAGAGGACGCAGGACTGAGACAGGAACACAGCTATGAAATATTATTGATCAACTCATCGTTATCAGTACTCACTCGATCGTATGCAAGCAGTATTTCTGGTTCTTGGTCAGCTCCACCAACACTTTGAGTCCTGAGTTTTCCAGGTTGTTGCCCATCAGATGCAGCTCTGCCAGGTGTTGGGGGTTGGCCTTCAGGGCGGCAGACAGGAACTGGATGCTCCTGGAGGTCAGGCCGCAGGTCCTCAGTCTGCAGGGGAACACCAGGAGAAACCAGCTCACTGTAGATGACCCTTCATTAATCCCAACGTGGAAGTTCAGATTTCTACTTTGTATTGTATACAAACGTTACAAATACACACAGGACCTCTACACATGAGGTCTGAATACATATGTATGTATCTATTTATTGATCAAGGGACAATACACATTATTTAACATGGAGACTTTAGTTGCGGAGTCTATTTTTATATAACATTACAAGAGGGATTCTTATTATGACATGATATGCTTATTGTGCCATGACTATGGAATAAATAGATACAATCACCAATCCCAGGTTCTGATGGGTTGGATACGAAACAAAGGGAATAGTCATAGAAGAAAGTTTAGCTGCATTAGAAATGTTGCAAAGACCAGGTGCAGACACTGTAGAGACAATGAGTTATTGAAAACAGGAGATCGCCCTGGCCTTGAACAGTGTGTGCTCAACGCCTACGCATAACTGGGAACTAGTGTAATGGTCTACAGAGCTACCAACCCTTGTCCACTAGAGATGTTAAGATTCACCGATTCGCATCGGTGCACCGGCATAAACGTTCAAGATGCGAGTGCACCGGTTGAAAGAGTGCACATCGGCTACAGTTTGGGTTGAACCGGGTTGAACTCGCGATGCATCGATTGCGTAGCGTCTTTGCATCGGTAAAAAACCGATTCATTCATATAAAATCCCCTAATCTTGTCAACGCTCAGCAGAGTCGATCTTTGATATTTGCTTTGCCACTACGGAGGCCGAGAGTCTCAGTTATCAACACACACGGAAGTCGAGGAGAAAGAGAAACACAGCGCACCGAAAAATACCTACAAATCAAACGTTTGGTAACACTTCGGATTGTTCAAGAAAGACGGTGTAATAGTCCTTTATGCTAGGCTATATAGTTGACCGCAGGTCATGGAGAGTAATAAGGTATCCGTAGACTTTTGTATGAGGTATCTTTATTACTTAACAGGTCTACAGCCATGATACATAGATCCGTCCTAGATGCGGGCTTGCATACACACAGTATCACTCCGCAGCCGCACCCCATCAGTAACGTCCTGATGGTATATGTGCGCGGCACTCTATACTACAGACGGTCAACTTGAAAAATCGCTCGCAAATTGTTAACGATGCCGAGCCGCTTTAAAGTACACAAGTAGTACGAGGAACTTAGCGATGCACATAAAAGAGGCGACATGGGGTCTGCGGCTGAAAAGAGAAACCTCAAAGTTAGACATATGAGTTAAATCACTTAGTGAGGTGTTCTGTCAGAGAGAGTGGTGTTTAGTTTACAGCAGCCTGTGACGGCCAATAATAGTTTAAATGTATTCCTCACTGTAAGCAGTTATGAAATACCTGTTTGTGAAAGGTTATTTGTATTCTTTATTGTTCCTATAGAACCCACTGCTTTCTGCTCACTGGTGAGTTAGCCTATGAATGAGTGTTAAGCACATCAGGCTGGCAGCTGTATGGGCATTGCTCTATGGTAGCTGTTATTTGCACATTGTTAATCATGAGCAATGCATCCTTACATTGTTTAACTGTGAGGTGTTATACAATTGTACTCTGGAGAGCTTTTAAAGGTAACAAAATAAACGGCATGATGGGATGTGCAGTACCAAATATGTAAAGCACTTTTTTGTTAATGTATGATTTGCTGCATATAAGGAATAAAACAAAAATCCTCTGTCGTACCAAATTGAAGTATCATTATTTTTGCATCGTGTTGAATCGCATCGTATCGCACCGAATCGCATAATGTTGAATCAAATCGTATCGAACTGTATCGCAACAGGGGTGAATCGTATCGTATCGCATGGTGTTTCAAATGTATCGTTAATGTATCGTATCGTGGCAACGTATCGAGATGCGCATCGCATCGGCCTCAGTGATGGAGATGCACATCCCTATTGTCCACACACCGCCTGATTTGAATATTTTGAATAAAATCCTACAATTTTCAAATATAATATATTATGTAAGACTCCTTAAAAAACACCAAACAATGTTGCTATCCTAAAAAACATGATTTTGAGGAATAGAAACGTAAATCTTTGTACTGTGGGCCCTTCTTTCATAACATGACTTTAATATGCTGACTACAAATAAATGCTTATTATTATTATTATTATCATTGGGGGGATTCTTTAAGAAGTAAGGAAATCAAATAAAAACTTACGACAGCTTCTCGAGTTTACAGTGAGGGCTTCTGATTCCCGTGCAGAGTTTCCTCACTCCCTTGTCCTGCAGGTTGTTCTCCGACAGGTCCAGCTCGCTGAGGATGCTCTCCTTGGAGGCCAGGCCCGAGGCCAGCTCTGCACAGCAGTCATCCGTCAGGCTGCAGTGACTCAGGCTGGAACGCAAAATAAGTCACGTTACAGCATAAAGTTCCTGTATTATGTCGCCCGACCTATCAAAAGCAGTCGCATGTCACAGCAGATCATTTTGAGATGAACATGGATTTATGTTTGGTCAATTATATTTTAAAGAGGATTTGAAAAACCATTGGAAAAATGTGTGTTACGCAGTGAGGTCACTATGTTTCGGCTTTAAACAAAGGAGTACAATTTAGGAGTTTCAGGCAGGGGGGGGGGACTTTGAGATTTAGCCTTTGCTGACCATTTACGTGCAAACAAGCCTATAGAACACACTACAGGAAATAAACCAAACTTCAATGAAAGTGGTGATCAGCAATGTTATATGTTCAATAGCCTACTGTGCAAAATGAATGCAAACAAGAATAAGAAACTCTTATCACCAAATTCACACAATAAATATTTTTTTCTTTAAAGCTTGAAATGCCAGGGTGACATCTTCTGCAATGAAATATCACGCTCTAATCAGTGCCTCTCCCCTCCCTCCCTACGTCTCCTTGAAATACTGATGAACGGTTCTCAAATATAGACTAATCTTGGCTTTCAGAATAGTAAACCAGTGTAGCCTAATTCAGATAATACAACCTGTAAAGGAACTTAATGACAGAGGCATTACAACAGGCTGTGTGTTTTCCCGACAAATACACACAGCCCTATTCCCCCCCCCCCCATAACACAAATCAACTTTTTTCTGTGAGATTGTTCCTTGTCCTGATAAAAAAAAAAACTCCTCGTCCTATTTGCTACTGGCTTATAATTGTGTAAGCATAATCAATACTATGGATGGATCTCAGTGAACAATAAGTTGTGTACAAAGATTTTAAAAAGCTACATGTATTCCAATGGTGTCATAAGTACTAGGGGAAAGTAGTGCCCTTTGATATTAAGCCTGAGCCCCCCTATAAAAAAAAGTGTTGCTTATACATGTTTTTTTAAATTACGTACAACATCGAAGGCCTCTTTTTCATAATCTAGCTCCGTAACTGTTCGATTTTGCTTACATTTTGGAGATCATAAATAATCCATATATTATTGGGAAGCTAAGAATGTCCTCTTTTCAATAGTGTATACAATACTAATGTTTCTGATTTTGATGAAGCAAGTTACATTTGTGTAATGGAGGACTACGGTTTGAAAATGATTTACTTGAGCGCTCTCAGGCGGCTGCAGGGGTTCTTCAGTCCGGCCGATATTTCCCTGACCCCCTGGTCCCCGAGGCAGTTCATGCTGAGGTCCAGCTCTCTCAGCTCCACCGCCTTCCAGTCGGTCTTCTGCGTCAGCCCCTTGTACAGCTGCGACAGGGAGCACAGGACCGTGGCAAGATGAACGCAAGCCCTGCCAGTGATTCCACACCTTGAAACACTGAGGGGAGATAAGAGAAAACAAATCTGTCAACAGTTTGTTCTGCAGAAAATAACTAGCTAGAACGAAACCACACATGTAGAAATAAACGTCATGCAACATCAACCAGGCATACGTGTGACACTTTGAGTTCATATCTGTTTTCTATCATTGGTGTAGCAACAATACCTACTCATTCAAACCATTTGATGAATAATTGAGACACCATGCGGCTGCCAGGTTAGTGTACCATGGCTGGAGTTTTACATGATATGGGACGCATTCTTCCATTAAACGCACCAAAAATGTAAACGTATACCGTTAGGGAAATGTTTACCTAAGCCCAGACCTTTGACCCAGTTTATCACTCTCTACCTACCCCCCCCCCCCCCCCGCAGAGCACAGGCATGTGGCCTTGGGGTGCTATTCTCCTTGAGTCATTTTGTCTGTTTATTCTCGCCTGCTCTTCAAGGTTCTTTATTTGTCATACGAACATAGCTACAGAGTAGTTATGTCGATGAAAATATTAGGTCACAGGCTTCTCCAACAGTGCAACACAATAACACAGATAAACAGACAAATATAGTGCAAGTAAATATTAAAAAGTAAATACAAAAAGAAAAATAGTTTTAAAAAAGTGAAATAAGAGCCTATATGCAAGCTATTGGAATGATATATTAGACAAATAGATACATAATTACAAAGTAGCAGATGAATGTTATGGATGTTCTTAGTTCAGGTGTTTAGCAGTCTTATGGCCTGTGTTATGAAACTGTCCCTGAGTCTGGTGGTTTTAGTCCGGATGCTGCGGTAACGCCTGCCAGACGGCAGCAGACAGAACAGTGTGTGGCTGGGGTGATGGGGGTCTTTTATAATCCTGAGGGATTTCTTCCTGAGCCGCTGGGAGTAGAGGTCCTCCATGGATGGCAGCTCCGTCCTGGTGATGTTCTGTGCAGTTTCCACCACCCTCTGTAAAGCCTTTCGATTGAGGGGCAGCTGCTGAACCAGGCCGTGATGCAGCCAGTCAGGATGCTCTCTATGGAGCACCTGTAGAAGGTCAGGATGCTCTCTATGGTGCACCTGTAGAAGGTCAGGATCCTCTCTGTGGTGCACCTGTAGAAGGTCAGGATGCTCTCTATGGTGCACCTGTAGAAGGTCAGGATGCTCTCTATGGTGCACCTGTAGAAGGTCAGGATGCTCTCTATGGTGCACCTGTAGAAGGTCAGGATGCTCTCTATGGTGCACCTGTAGAAGGTCAGGATGCTCTCTATGGAGCACCTGTAGAAGGTCAGGATCCTCTCTGTGGTGCACCTGTAGAAGGTCAGGATGCTCTCTATGGTGCACCTGTAGAAGGTCAGGATGCTCTCTATGGAGCACCTGTAGAAGGTCAGGATCCTCTCTATGGTGCACCTGTAGAAGGTCAGGATCCTCTCTATGGAGCACCTGTAGAAGGTCAGGATGCTCTCTATGGTGCACCTGTAGAAGGTCAGGATCCTCTCTATGGTGCACCTGTAGAAGGTCAGGATCCTCTCTATGGTGCACCTGTAGAAGGTCAGGATGCTCTCTATGGTGCACCTGTAGAAGGTCAGGATCCTCTCTATGGTGCACCTGTAGAAGGTTCAGGATCCTCTCTATGGTGCACCTGTAGAAGGTCAGGATGCTCTCTATGGTGCACCTGTAGAAGGTCAGGATGCTCTCTATGGTGCACCTGTAGAAGGTCAGGATCCTCTCTATGGTGCACCTGTAGAAGGTCAGGATGCTCTCTATGGTGCACCTGTAGAAGGTCAGGATCCTCTCTATGGTGCACCTGTAGAAGGTCAGGATGCTCTCTATGGTGCACCTGTAGAAGGTCAGGATGCTCTCTATGGTGCACCTGTAGAAGGTCAGGATGCTCTCTATGGAGCACCTGTAGAAGGTCAGGATCCTCTCTATGGTGCACCTGTAGAAGGTCAGGATGCTCTCTATGGTGCACCTGTAGAAGGTCAGGATCCTCTCTATGGAGCACCTGTAGAAGGTCAGGATGCTCTCTATGGTGCACCTGTAGAAGGTCAGGATGCTCTCTATGGTGCACCTGTAGAAGGTCAGGATGCTCTCTATGGAGCACCTGTAGAAGGTCAGGATCCTCTCTATGGTGCACCTGTAGAAGGTCAGGATCCTCTCTATGGAGCACCTGTAGAAGGTCAGGATGCTCTCTATGGTGCACCTATAGAAGGTCAGGATCCTCTCTATGGTGCACCTGTAGAAGGTCAGGATCCTCTCTATGGTGCACCTGTAGAAGGTCAGGATGCTCTCTATGGTGCACCTGTAGAAGGTCAGGATCCTCTCTATGGTGCACCTGTAGAAGGTCAGGATGCTCTCTATGGTGCACCTGTAGAAGGTCAGGATGCTCTCTATGGTGCACCTGTAGAAGGTCAGGATGCTCTCTATGGTGCACCTGTAGAAGGTCAGGATGTTCTCTATGGTGCACATGTAGAAGGTCAGGATCCTCTCTATGGTGCACCTGTAGAAGGTCAGGATGCTCTCTATGGTGCACATGTAGAAGGTCAGTATCCTGGAGTCCATGTTGAACCTCCTCAGTCTGCGGAGGAAGAAGAGCCGCTGTTGAGCTTTCTTGGTGATGGTGTTTGTGTGATGAGTCCATGTCAGGTCCTCAGTGATGAGTCCATGTCAGCTCCTCAGTGATGAGTCCATGTCAGGTCCTCAGTGAAGAGTCCATGTCAGGTCCTCAGTGAAGAGTCCATGTCAGGTCCTCAGTGATGAGTCCATGTCAGGTCCTCAGTGATGAGTCCATGTCAGGTCCTCAGTGATGAGTCGGGTCCTCAGTGATGAGTCCATGTCAGGTCCTCAGTGATGAGTCCATGTCAGCTCCTCAGTGATGAGTCCATGTCAGGTCCTCAGTGATGAGTCCATGTCAGGTCCTCAGTGATGAGTCCATGTCAGCTCTTCAGTGAAGAGTCCATGTCAGTTTCTCAGTGATGAGTCCATGTCAGCTCCTCAGTGATGAGTCCATGTCAGCTCTTCAGTGAAGAGTCCATGTCAGGTCCTCAGTGATGAGTCCATGTCAGCTCCTCAGTGATGAGTCCATGTCAGCTCCTCAGTGATGAGTCCATGTCAGCTCCTCAGTGATGTGGACACTGAGGAACCTGAAGCTGCTGACTCTCTCCACCGTAGTCCCATTGATGGCGATGGGGGCGTGTCCCTCTCTCTGCTGCTTCCTGTAATCCACAATCAGCTCCTTGGTTTTTCTGACGTTGAGATGGAGGTTGTTATCCTGGCACCAAGATGTCAGGTTTTCTACCTCCTCTCTGTACGCCGTCTCGTTGCCGTCTGTGATCTGGCCGACGACGGTCGTGTCGTCGGCAAACTTCACGATGATGTTGGAGCTGTGTGTGGCCACGCAGTCGTGAGTGAACAGGGAGTAGAGGAGAGGGCTGAGCACGCAGCCTTGATGGGCTCCGGTGTTGAGGATCAGGGTGGAGGATGTGATGTTTCCCACCCGCACTGCCTGGGGTCTGCCCGTCAGGAAGTTCAAGATCCAGTCACAGAGGGCGCTCTGAGCTTGATGACCAGCTTGGAGGGCACAATGGTATTGAAGGATGAACTGTAATCAATGAACAGCATTCTCACATGTGTTCCTCTGGTCCAGGTGTGAGAGGGCAGTGTGGATGGTGAGGGCTATGTCGTCATCTTGACATATACAGAGTTTTATAGTTGACACAGAGTGTTTTGCAGGCACTAGGGACATCTGGTAGTCCATGTTATCTGGTACTTGCTCTTAGCAAGGGTCAGGAGCTGTAGTGCTTTGCTTGGTTGTCTTGTCATGGCAATGTTGATTATTCTCTTAGAACTAAATAAATACTTGGGACTGGGTGAGAGAGCTCCAGAAGTGGTTAGAGAACAAACGTGAATACAACCCTGTATACAAGTTGCATCGCTGCCTGGGCCTGCAGACAGACCCTGAACATGTGTCAGAACAGCAACTAATTCACTGCTCCTCGACTGGATCCTGTTATCGATTAGTCAAGCTGTCACAGTAGAAGCGGTAAAACAGCTACGCTGCCATTGTGTTGCCATAGAGAGCTAGAAATTGTGGTAAAGGGCTTTGATTAATGTGCAAATTATTTCTACTTTGTTGCTGCCTAACTTTCAGTGAGCAACCAATCAGATGACAGTTGTGCTAAGACTCGCATGCTAGCAGGGGAGGAAACCATAGAGATGTAACTAAGACAGCTGATTTCACGCAAGAGTCTGCACCTATCCTCACGGTAAGCAAAGAGCTAATAGCGTATCACCTGAATGCAGCTTCAGAAAGGCTTAGGTGGCTAGGCCAACTTCATTCGTGTAATATCAAAGAAACTTCATATCATATAATCCTTCATTTCATGTTGCCAAACATTGTTAAATAAAACCGAAAGAAACAATTATGGGGAAATACGCACCAGGTGCCGTTACCAGTGTGACAGTCGGACATTAAATTACAAACCACTGGAGTTATTGGCATATTCAAATCCACAGATGCATACTGTTAGCCACGTGACTCTGGAGAAGTATAAAGTTGGAGAAGACGTTTTTGCTATAACATTTGGCTTTGGAGGTTTAATATTAACACAGCTCTAACCTTTCTTGTTAGTTTCCCAGCAGGAAACTAGCACAGAACTCAGCTCAGTGGAAAAGGGTTCAAAGTAACCAATAGATTAATATAAGAGCAAGTCAAACTTACTTGAGTTTCTCCAGTCTACACCATGCGTACATGCCCTCGCAGATGAGTGCAAAGCCAGCGTCTTTCAACTGGTTGTTGCTCAGGTTGAGCTCTACCAGAGAGCTGGTTTCGTACTTCAGAGCCTCCCCGATATTGTGACAGCTCAACACAGTGAGGCCACAGTGGTAAATCCTGCCCAAGAGATACAAAGTGTGACAGGATTATTGGTACACCTATGTCGAGAAGGAAAGCTATTTGAGTTTCAAAAAGATTATACTCACTCCAGCTTCGTTAGCTGCCTGTCACATTTTATGTAGAGCTCTTTGGTCCCTTTGTCTCCAACCATGTTGATGCTCAGGTCCAACACTTTCAGGCTGCCCCAGTTCTCCTGCAGAGCCGAGGCCAGGTAGCTGCTGCCTTTCTCCTCAATGTTGCACTGTGATAGTCTATGGAAACAAATTACATATGAAATGTGCAGAAAAAAAAGCCAACATATTATAATGAACACATGTATTTTGAGATGCAGTTTTCTATTGTTACACATTGAGGTTTGATTGGTTGCAAAAATATATATTATTTTTAGGGCTGTACCCGAATATTCCGTCGTAGGCCTACTATTCGGTTTTCAAGTTTTTTTTTTTTAAGGCTTATTGACTTATTGGCATTCACACCGCTTGGTGCGGTTTGTTTGGGTCGGTGTGAACAAAGTCAAAGGTCTCTGAAGTGAACTAAACAACCGGACTCTGGTCCGCTTAAAAGAGGTGGTCTCGGACCGCTTGCTAGTGAACTCTGGAGCGGATCATCGCTGGTGTGAATGCAGTCCGCGCCAAAACATAGGAAGCGTAGTATTTACGAGTCCGTCTTAAAAATCTTTAGCGAAAGAGTGAAGCAGAATGAAGTGTTGAACAGTGTCTTGTAAATAAAAAATGCTCCGTCAAATATACATAAAAGTCAGAGCCACCTGTCGTCGGTAAAACGCCCCTCCTTACTGCAGAACGTCTCATATGGGTTATGTTTTTTATCGCACGTTGTCTGATTGTATAATCATATGCGCCGTTGTTAAAGTCTGTTGATATGATCTCCAGATTAACAGCAGCATGAAAAATAACCTGCCGATGCTCCATGGTGGAGGCCAGTGTTGGGTGTAACGCGTTACAAAAGTAACGGAGTTACAGTAATATATTACATTACTTCGTTACAGCAAAAAGTAACGCATTACTAATGAAATGAGGGTAATATATTACCCGTTACAATGCTCAGTAACGCAGTTACAACACATTTCAACCCGAAATTAAATGGTGTTTTGTTTTTTAAGAATGTACTAACATAGCGAGACATTCCGACACCAGACAAATTGTGCGGGTAGATTAGTAAACCTGGTGTTTACCCTTCAGGCTTCGCGTCGGGATCTTCGGGGCAGTTGAATGTTATGCACCCTCTATTCAAAAAGAAAACGGAGCGAAAAATACCAACAACAAATTGTGTCAGGTGCGCGTGACCTGCTCCGCTGCGCGTGCATCATTTCCAAAGTGCTTCCACAGCAGTGACACATCTGTGGATAATCATTTATATGAAAATGGTTAAAGCAACCATCACTAAACGCCAGCAACACTGCATCTACATCACGTTACCCTCCGTTGTGTACACTAGCTTACTCCCGCCTGACTCGCCGCCCTCGCCCCCGGAGCAGCAGTCTTCGTCGCCCGAAACTACGGCGCCCCTCTGGGGCCCGCAGGTGCCAGGATACCACGGCAAAACAGAGCCTGCCCAGGTATATCTAAACAAGTACTCGCCTGTACAGTGGGGTTAGGCGGTCATTTTGCAGCTTGTGGTATACAAATAGACAATGGCTAGAATATTAATGTAAAGATAGTGCCATATTCTGCCATGCCTGTAGAAATGTTGGGTCAAACATAATGCATACAATAGCACAGATGCCTTCACCACGAATGGCTACAAAAAGATCTCATATCCCAAGCTTATGAACAAGCTAATGTTGCAGCTGAAATGTTCTCCAGGTCACAAAGTCATGATGATGTGATACCAGTTTTCCAGCACAGTAAATATTCTCTTCCCAGAGTATATGATGGGACCAAAGTGATGTTTAGTACATGGTTTTAATAATACTTTTGCTTTTCAATGTTTGCCATTTCAAACCTTGAGCTGGTTCAAATCATATTTGCCTTGATTTACAATATGTTCTCATTTCTTTTATCAGTACAGTTTTGAAGCTTTTGTGCTTTTCTTTGCCACAGTCCACTTTGGACTATATGAGATATTTCAGGATTGTATTTTTAACTCACTTGAAATGTTCTCACTTGCTTGGTTTCAAAACATAACAAAGGCCATAATGTGTTCATTGGGGACCATAACATCAATGCTATTTTTCATTGCTGTTGCCGGCCACTATTGCTCATGTAAACCTACTACTGCTGCGCCCCCTGTAACCTCAGAGGCACCCTGAGTCATTTTGTTCTGGAGCCGGGCCTGTACCCGGCCATATACTAAACACACTATAGAGCCCATTCCGTGTCCTGTTATTGTTTACTTCCTGTCTGCCTTCTTCTGGTGATTTATCTGACGTCCAGCGCTCCGTCTTTTAACCTCTTTTCCTTTCTCTTTCTTGATCCTCCTTAGCAACCTTCATTATAGTCCTTGACAGTGGTCTGTACTGCTGTATTAACAACGTGTCACATGTTAAGAAGTTACAATCAGAATCGAGTATTCAACTAAGCCGTGTAATACAAGTTGTTAGTAGCCTTAATGGCCTCCACAGTTGTTATGCTATACCACATCGCCCTTCACTGGATGTATAATGAGCTGCACTAAACTACATTTTAGCATTTAAAACTCCTAGCCATTCTTTTGAGGGTATTTTGGTGAAAGTAACTCAAAAGTAACTAAAGTAGTGTAACTCATTACATTTCAGAGACAGTAATATTGTAATGTCACTTATTACTTTCAAAAGACAGTAATAAGTAATATTACATTTTGGAAGTAACTTGCCCAACACTGGTGGAGGCTACAGTAGAAATTGCCAGGATTTACCTTTTTATCCCCCTTAATGTCTGACCAATTGTTGAACAGCATTTCCGTGCACAGGACTTGTGTTTAAAGTGTATAGTCCTTTTGAATTTTGCCTGTGTGAACGCCCCCCGCGCATGCACCGAATATTCCCTGTTGATTACTACCGAATATCCGGAGCCGAAAAATTGTATTCGGGACAGCCCTAATCATTTTGATACAATCTTTTTTGTAACCTGTAACAAATAGGGCTCTAACCATGAATTAGTTTCATGGAAAATAGCAAGAAATGTCCATCCCAGTTGGTGATGTCATTAGATGTTTGATTTAAACATGTTATACAACTAAGAAAAGCAGGAGATTTTGAAATTTGAGAGTCTGGGAACAGCATTTTTTCATATTTTTTTTTTTTTTTTTTAGCATTAATTACCAAAACTAATCAACGAATTGTCGTAGTTTAAAAAACAAATGGTTCTCTCTGTAATTTTGTGAGCAAATAAACATGTTAGGCTTGTTATAAGAGATGTTTTGCTAAATTTTCATTGTTTCACTATCAATTTCATATGAAGAGAAGCGTCTGGACAGGTACGTTAATTTCCCAATACTTACCTGAGCGTTTCCAACTGGCATTCAGGAGATCTCAAACCATCTGCAAGATATCTCACTCCGTCATCTCCTATCTCGTTCATGCTGAGGTCCAACTCTCGCAGTTTCGGAGACCGTCTCAGGACCAGGGCCAGGTCTTCACAGGAGTGCCCGGTCAATCCGCAGCCTTGCAGCCTGATGGTCTTCAGCCTGCAGTTTTCATCGCTCAGCCCCTCCACCAGCTCCCTGACTCCTTCATCCCTGATGCTGTTGAACCCCAGGTCCAGCTCCCTCAGGTAAGACTCCTTTGTGCTCAGGATGGATGCTAAGGCCGGACAACACTTGTCTGTCAGGTTGGAGAATCGCAGCCTGCAATAAGATGGGATAGGATCAGAGAGAGCCTTATCCTTTAATAAACATTATCTATTATTATACAGTACCATATCAGAGGAAATGTATTTGCACCTCTCCCTTATGACACATATTATATGGACACATTGTTTTTGTCTAGGTACATCTAAACTAAATGAAGATATAAATGAAACATTGAATATAAAGTTAACGTGTAGATTTAGGTGCAACGTGTGGGAATAACTGCACTTCTATACTAAGTCCCAAATGTTGTATTGCACAGGAGGTCAATGATACTGTTGACTTTACGTGGATGGAAATCCAGTCAAATGAAAGGATGATGAAGCAGCACAAAACTCCCTCTGGAGGGAAGTGTGGAATGTTAACCTTTGCAGACCATTTACATGCACAAAAAACAGTATAGCACACAACAGGAACGGGAAAACACATAATAGGGCCTCAAAAACTAACTCTGAAGTCACAGTTAACAAACAGAGTATGGAATGTATATACATTATAGACTTACATGGCTTTCTTGGATTTGAAAATAGCTGCTAGCTGCCTGATGAGTTTCTCATCACATCTCGCAGACACTGGCATCTCAAAACTGTCTCTTATCCCTTCGAAATTGCTGGTCCGCTGCAACATGATGGTCCAATGCATTTCTGAGAAATTAGAAATGGGACAGAAGCGATACTTCAGGAAAAACTTAACTTCATGCAGTAAAGCCTGGTTGTCGTACTCCCTCAGACAGTGGAACAGACCCACAGCCTTGTAGGACAGAATGTAGTCCAGGATCAGCTTCTTGGTGTAGACTAACAGCGGATCATGCGGCTCCAACATGCCGCGCTCTCTAAGGAGACCAAAGATGAAGCGAAGGAAGACATCTGTTTTTCCCATAGAACTCTCCAGTGCCGTGTCCACCAGACACTTACAAAGTCTCGACGGGTCAGATTTTGTTTCAATATTGTCCAATTCAGCAGACGCTGCAAAGAACTCCAGAATGCTTGAGTGACCAAAGCGAAACACAGTGCTGTTATGAAGCCCATTTTCTTCTTTCAACACAAGAGGACACTCTTTAGAGAAAGTTGACGCTTCCTCAACACTTAGGTCAATTTCTGAAAGATGATAATCATAGAATACCTCACATTCTCCCATCCAAAGCTTTGCCAGCATTTTCAGCTTGGCAACCGTTTCTGGGTTTGATGCTTTGAGCAGATTTGTGTAGATCTGGGTTAAACTCAGGGGGTGGATTTTAAATCCATCATCTGGTTTTAGATGATCCTTCAACACATTTGCCATGATGGTGCAGATTGTGGGTACCTGACAAAGGAAGTCCAGACTCCTTGATATTTTCACGTGGTTGATGACTTTGTCGGCCAAATTGTCATCACCGACGAGTGCCCTGAGGTGCTCCTCCTGCTGTTCATCATTGAACCCTTGAACCTCGGTCTCTTTAAGCAAAAAACGATCAGGGATTTGTGTTGCCGCTGCAAATCTGGTTGTTATCCATATATGAGCAAGGGGAAGTAAATCCCCCCTGATGAGATTAGTCAAAAGATTTTCTACTGTAGATAACTCAGAAACATCACTCACAGTTGGACAGTGAAAGTCTAATGTGCCATGATACTCATCCAGCGCATCAAGGACAAAGCACACACTGCTATTCCTGAGGCTGACGCTGTCAAGCTCCTTCAGGTCAGGGAAAAACGTCAGGAGAAGTTCAATTAGGGTCAGTTCGTGTTCGAGCAAATTTAACTCCCAGAAGGTGAGAGGAAACAGGAGATGGACGTCCTGGCACGCTTTGCCCTCGGCCCACTCCAGAGCACATCTCTGCACTGTTGTGGTTTTTCCAACGCCACACACGCCTACGGTGAGGACCGTTCTTTGGCTGCTGTTGTGTTTACAGTCGCACGATAAAATCTCCGAGAGCGGGACAGTTGGATAAACAACCCAAGTGTGAAGGTCGGACTTGTCAATAAATCTAAACTCATTCTGTAACAAATTAGTATGAAATAGTTTGTGTTCCTGCTTGAGCTCACGATAGCAAAGTCTTGAAGGAAGTAATGAGTTTTCAGCTTCTTTCACTTTCTGAAATTTGTTCTTCAGAATGTTTTTCAGACAGTTTTCAAGATCCATCACACATTCAGTGGCTCCTGGAAAAGATGAAAAGAAATTGAATAATAATAACATGGAATAATTACTCAGGACTTTTACCTAAGTAAAAGTAATAATGCCACTGTGTAAGAATACTCGGTTAGAAAATAAGTCCGGCATTCAAAATGTGAGTTAAGTAAAAAAAGTATTACCATCAAAATATATTTTAAGTACCATAAGATACGATATTACTTTAAATGGTCAGATCAAGTCTGAAATTTGACTTGCATCACAGCAGCCCCATGTGTTGAACATCTCAAGACACAATACATGAAAAACAAACAACAAACATTTAACACAACAGCACAATCACGGAGAGAAAACCTGCTCAAAGAGCCTTTAGCGTGCATTTTATCTGGGATTCAGCTCTGTATTTACTGTGAGGATTGACCGGAGCACAACGGATGCTTCAGTCTGACTTCATTGAATCTCCATTAGATAGTAGAAGTTCATATTCTCTGTTCAGGGGCCTCATTTATAAAAGGGATATACGCTCCAAAAATTGCGTACGCCAGTTTCTACGCAATGTTTGCGATTTATAAAATGCTAACTTGACGGGAGAATGTGCGGTCCTCCACGCAAACTCTGACCCATGCGTACGCACTAAGCACAACAACGGGAGAGACGAGAAACTGCGACACCGTTGGCAGAAGGAAGAATGGAGAGAAATATGTGGAAATAATAGAATGTTACCTCTCATGTACGAAGACACAGACTGAAGCAAGCAGCAGCGCTGAGCGGCAGAGCCATACATGTGTTAAACCGAAGTTCAATAAACATCCCTATCCCCTCAGCTGAAGTTGCAAAAACACCACGATCTTATGATCCAATTCTATCAGTTTCCCAGTTACACAGGGACGCGGGAAGTCAGTCAGAGTTGGGGGTGCGTGCAGCGTCTCGCAGCGGAGTAACTGTGGTGCGGGGGGGGGGGAGGGGCTGCAAGTGGAGCATCGCAGTTTTTCAGGTTGATATGTGAAGCTCATTAGCTAGCCAACATGTATCTAGCAAATGTTTAGCAACATATTAGAAGTGAGGCTAGACTAACGTTAGGTCTACTGTAATAGCCTCACTTTTAATAGTTTGCAAAACATTAGCTAGCACTAGTGTTTTGCAGTTGCTAGCAGCTTATTTGGATTTTATGCTAGATAGACAGATATAATAAATTAAGCATTATTGTTAGTTAAGCATGTCAGCCTGCAGCCCCACTTCTTGTCTCTCTCTCTCCAACTCATTGCAGATGACTGCACTAAAGAAAAGGGTTCAAGAGACGCTATTGCCAGCGTGCTGTTGTCAGAAAACACACCTTGCCTGGTATCAGACCCGGCGTCATGGGCGGGCCCACCCATCCAGGATTTGGGCCCGCCCATCCAGGATTTGGGCCCGCCCATCCAGGATTTGGGCCCGCTGTTTTAATCAGGGCTGAATACAACATTTTAATTGTTTTATTATTATGTTCAGTTGCGGCGCCAGGGTATACTGGGGTAGGCTACAGCCATACCAAGAAATGGCTTAGCCCCACCATGAAAAATGATTTTAAAGTAAGCTAAATAAAGTCCGCCAACTCGCGGAGTAAATTGCACAGACAGCAGTAAATACCGAAGACTAGAAACGGTTTGAAAACTTTTGTCACGTAGTGATCATCTTCTCAATAGAACATCTTTGATAATGTCTTCTGGCCAATCAGAATCACGATAACGACATGGTGTTGATGCAGGAAGTCCCGACGGAGAATACTTTTACTGTAGTAAATATCTATATACATCGATACAACATTACGTGTTGATAGAAAGCAACACATAATGAAATAAGACCCCACGGTTTGATGATTGGTAGGTGTGTGGGCTGTCTTTCATTTTGACACACAGAACAATGGGGGCTATCTACCCTTATCCACAATGTAAAGTCATTCACACAGCCTCCTCCCTCTTCTCTCTGTGAGGAGCAGCAGGTTCAGCTTTCAGAACAAAGTAACACAAAACTAAAATGGCATTCATGTCGTGTAGTAATAGATTTTTTTATTTTTCTTCTCAAGAGAGTACCAGAATGTGTATTTTATGTTAGTATTTCAAAAAATCTCCTGGGGGAGAATCCCCCCAGACCCCCCTGCAGGGGTTGGGTTTTCAGCATGTCAACTCTTTCACCTGTGGGGAAATTGCAGGATTGGCTCCAGGTCGCCCTTTTTATTTACTACAAGACAAATGTGCCTTTTTATTTCATACAGTTCAATTTGGATCGAGACAGGGAAATAATCTAAACCTCACGCGTGGCGTTTCACTGTCAAGGGAAGCGTGTATGTAATTACATTGCAAATACTGACTTGAGCCCCACCATGCACTGTATGGGTTAGCCCTACCATAGATTACCCAACAAAAATACTCTGGAGCCGCCACTGATTATGTTTATTGTTGTTATTTGTAGGGCTTTGTCCTAATATTTATTTTTGTTTTAAACTATGTTGAAAGATTAGTTTAATATCATTTTTTAAATTTTGCTATGAAATTCTGAATGAAAGGCTGCGCGCGAGACTGGTTTTTCGCTGGGTTGAGTCGTGTGGGTTTTTGAGTGAGATGCGGCACAGCAGCCTGTCAGTTTACTCTTGCTAGGTTAGTTTGGCTATCATCATTTATATTTATCTGTAACAATGGATATCAGGAAGTGGTTCACACTTATACACTTGAAAGGAATATGGCAACTCAGCGCCAGATGCAGGCACATTAGAAGACATCAGTTACGTTACCAACGAGCTAGCAAGCCAGCCAGGGACAAGGGAGGCTGGCAATCAATTATATTTTGAAGAGAAATTGACTCTCAAGCCGGCTCTCTCACAAACTCCGGCTCTGTGCGCAAGCAGACCGCTTGTACACGCTCTCGGCCTCGCTCAATCTCTCTCTCTCTCTCTCTCTCTCCCTTTCTCTCCATCGCTCAACCTCACTCCACCTCTCCACCCTGTGTGCGCTCAAGTTTGCCTGCGTGCTTGCCCAAGTTGGCACAGCGTTACAAATGTGCCACAAAACCAACCAATGGATGTAGCCTAAAATAAGACCGTCAACAGCCTTATGGCAACCTAACCCCCCCCCCCCCCCCCCCCTTGACAAATCTCGAGATTTCCCGGGAAATGTAAGTTTCGGGGTGGGCCCGCCCTGGCAAATCAAATGCCCGCCCAGAGACGTATGTCTGCCGCCGGGTCTGCCTGGTATAATAGCTCCGATTAATGCATTTCACCGTTGAATGGAAAACACAGCGTTAATACGCGGTGCGCGTTCAGGCCGCGGTGCGTTCAGGGACCTCCGCAGGGGAACGGTGGTTTACGGTTGTAAACTCTAGTTCTAGAGTGATGTGTGTGTGCGGGAAAAATGCATTCAGTGAGAACGAGTGCATTTATCCCAGAGTAAGAGTAATCTCTCTCCACAATTACATTTGTTCCCATAATGTCCGTTTCGAAGAGACGGCATTGTGAGGGCGGGCCGCGGTGCGTTCAAAGACCTCATTAGAGAGAAGAGTCACCGTAGCGCGCGCTCCTCCACAGGCTTTTCTGCAGACGAGGGAGCGCGGCGCGACGGTGAGAAGTAGGGAGAGGTGCCGGCACGGAGATCTCGTGCCCGCGGCGCTCTCCACCTCTTCGGCCCATCCCGTGGAACCGGCGTGCCGGTACTCACGGGGACGGGCTGCCCGTCTTCACGGATCTGACTGGCCTGGCGGGGGGAGAAAATCTCTCTGCCCGGGACGAGAGGGCGAATCTTGCCTCCTTCCTGTATAATGCATAGATCACTACGTTTTCTAATAAGAATGAGGTTGATCTGTATCCAAATCTGAGTGTCTTTTGTTTCCACAAATGCAACACTTACACACAATGTTAACAGTACAAATTCCCCATTCGCTGCCCCAGCTGTAGCTCCTGTAAAGGAGGCTAGTGGGCATGTGCAGATGAGAGGGATGAACCGCAGGGAGTGCTATCTAAAGGAGAGCGCTATGCGGGTGCAGGGACATTATGGCCGGCGTATTGCTGTCGGAGAACACACTACGCCTAGAGCAAAGACTCCAATTAATGCAGTTTTCCATAGTGGTAAAGGCTGCATTATGGCGGAGCCCGCACTCACACAAGAGCATGTGGCGGTGCGTTCAGGGTCCTCAGTAAATAATCGGCCCTTTCTGTGTCGACCATCCATGGGCAAATCTTCCCTTCACGGGGAGTTTTACGGCGGAACGGGTCACCAGAGAGCATCACAGCTTCATAGCTGCGGCCCCACAGCTGAGGGCTTTCCATTAACACAATGTTATGGGGAATGGAAACTCAGCTGTGTGCTAACAAAGTGGATGGACAGGACGCTGAAACGGGGCTCTTCACTCCAGTTTTGCAGCGTCCCACCTCCTTTTATAATAATAATAATAATAATGCATTTTATTTATATAGCGCTTTTCACAACTCAAAGACGCTTAACTCGCATGCCTTTTATGGGCATTTTACTCTGGGCCTAGCAGGTACAAAACTAAAGAGGGGCTTCCAAATCCGGCAGCACCAACACCTGATCTGCCGGATATGGAAGCCCCTCTTTAGTTTTTCACCTGCTGGGCCCAGAGTAAAATGCCTTTGTGAGCATAAACTAGAGGGGAACAGCAAGCACCAGTGTGATTGTGGTGAAGTTGTGACTGTTCTGGACAAAATTGTAGGGGGGGGGGGGTGCCATATCTGGCAGGAGAAATACCTGCTCTGCTGAACATGTTATAGAGAACAGTGCAGATCTAAAATAAGGAACATTAATAGTGTGATATAGGCACAGATATAAGAATCAATAATACACTTTATTTTAGGGCACCTTTCAAAGCATTCAATGTCACCTTAAAATACAATAAAAAATAAAATATGAGTGGCATTACAATACAAACATGTGTTGAGTAGGAAACCACAGAGGAAAATTACATTCAAAAGGAGCAATTAAAGCGAGTGAAGCCAGTTTGAACATATTATCTTTTAGGCTTGCTTGAAAATAACACAGTGTCTGACAGTTATATCATTACTGTTATATCATTGCTTACTATTCGTGGTTATCAGACACTTAAACAACAGAGAAGGTTTTAAGAAATAGGACTATACTGACAAATCACATATTATCCTGTCATTGTCTGTTCTGTAGGAAGGAGGAATATAACAGAGTGGGACTGCACTCAAAAACGGAAGTTTGTTCCAATACGAAGATTGTGACTATCTGAAAAGTGTCCTTAAAACGAGCCTCCTCGCAATTCTATGCACATTATTTATTCAGCCGTTTGCTGTTTAATCTGATGGGACATATATCATTCAAAAGAGAGAGAAAAGCTTATTAAACTAGACGAACACTCAATACAGGCGATGGCGTCACGTTTGCGCGTCCCCGCGAACAGGGCTTCAATCTACTGCAAGGCTTCAATCTACGGCATAACACCGGTACAAAAACAGACACGAGGCGGTAGCGTCAACATGAACATTAGCATAACTTTAGAGAAAAAAAGCACAGAAAAGTAAGAGTTACACTTACACTTCCTGAGAGTCGGCGAAAACCCCATCAGCTGGGCAGCGGCGTGAGTTTGGATAAAGTGACAGTTAAATCCTCAGGAGTGCTCCGGAAATATTCTTCTTCTTTGGCGTTTATTGTCGGTAGGCAAACCAGCTGAGAGGTCCCTTTTTCGCCTTACTACTCCTCAACAATTGCAACATACGCTTGACTTGACCCAAGTCACTATTCTAAGCATCTCTCCAGTTTCTACTTGCATAGCAGACAGACACTCCTGCTCTGTAGCTTCACTTCAAACTTTCTTCTTCTTCTTCTTCTTCTTCTTCTTCTTTTCTTTAATGGCGAATCACTTCCACTTGGAGCATATATCGCCACCTACTGTTGAGTTATAATGTTCATATTAAATCCTTGTCCTCAGACCAGTGCTTTTGAGGAATTTGAAGATCAGCTTGTTTGCTTCATTTCTTGATTTACTTTCGTATATTGACTTGAAATCCATGTCCTTGACGTTGAGTTGTTCCAGTGCAGTTTTCAGAATGAATCTTTGTCTGTTATAATCCGGGCAGCTAAAAAATACATGATGTATTGTCTCTGGTTGTTGGGCAACCATCACAATTGCCATTTGGATGTTTTCCAATCAGATGCAGTGAGGCAAGAAGATGAGTTTAATCCAGAGTGTCCCAATTGTATCCTGCTTTTAATGCTCTGTTCTCATCTACTACTCCCCCAAGTGCTTCCCGTTCCTACTTCCCTTTGTATCTGCTATAAATGTCTTCCTTTGATGTTACTGTCCCATAGTTTTTACCATTGTTGCTTGATAACCACTTTTGTAACAGATTTGACTTCTGCTCTACTGATGGGTACCATTATATCAATCTGGTTTGCTTTCAAACTACATTTTGCCAGTTGATCCACTACTTCATTCCCTCCAATACCCACATGCACCCACATACCCACACAAATTGAACAACAATTCCCTAATGAACTAACCTAAACATGATGTGTAAAATGTCATGTAAAATATCCTGACGACATTCTGAAGAGAAGTTGTTTATACTCTCCAGAGCTGCACTGGAGTCAGAGCAAATGACCACTCGCATTGGCTGTATTTCTATACCCACTGAAGTGCTAGTGAGATAGCCATCATATACTGCAATGTGATCACTCGTACGCTTTCCCACTTTGACTTTTAATTCAGGAACATAAAATGCACAACTAGTTAGACCATTTTCTGGATTTTTGGATCCATCAGTAAATATTTTTACAAAGTGCCCATATTGTTCATGTAGAACAGTGTTCACATAAGCCTGTACATTGATTTTGTTTTTCATTGAATGTAACCATTTCAATAGTGATAAATCTACTATAGGTTGAGGTAGCAACCATGGTGGAACAGCTGATAACAACACTGTCAGACTAATATTCCATTCTTTAACTTTTAATTCCTTACATAATTCTGAAACACAAACACAAAAACTTTCTTTTTTTATTTTGTTACTTTCCCAACTTGTTTGTTCAGTTTGTTTAGTAGGGTGAGTATCTTTATGGCCCTGTAGATTTGCCCAGTAATGAACAATTAACTGTTTTCTCCTCAAAGAAATTGGTATTTCTCCGACCTCTACCTGAAGTGCCGACACTGGTGTAGATCTGACTGCCCCACAACATATCCTTAGTGCTTGTGCCTGGACTCTATCTAATTTTTGAAGAGAAGAGTATGCAGCTGAACCATACACTATTAGTCCGTATTCTATGACTGATCTAATTAAGGCTGTGTATACGTTCCTCAAAGCAGCTTTATCAGCCCCCCACTTAGTGCCTGCCAAGCACCTCATAACATTTAAAACCCTTTTACATTTATCTACTACTTTATCAATGTGCGTACTCCATGTGACTCTCTCGTCCAACCATATTCTCAGAAATGTAAATGTCTTCACTTTCCTTAGATCTTGTCCATAAAGTTTTAACCTAACCTCCTCACCTATCCTTTTCCTCGTAAAAAATAAAGTTTCAGTTTTTTCCACCGACAATCTAAACCCCCATGTCAGAGACCAGCTTTCAATTTCCGTAATGGCTTCCTGAATCTTAGCTACAATATATTTTACATTTCTTCCCCTTTTCCAAATAGCTCCATCATCTGCAAAAAGTGACTTACCAATATCAGATCCTATTGTGTATCTATATCATTTATCATGATAGAAAACAAAAGAGGACTAATTACACTCCCCTGCGGGGTTCCATTTTCAACTTCATGCCTTCGAGAATATGAATTGCCAACTCGGACTCTGATGGCACGGCCAAACAAAAAATCCATAATCCAATTATATACATTACCTCCCAGACCCATAATGTCCATTTTTATTAATAATCCTTCCTTCCACATCATATCGTAAGCTTTTTCCACATCAAAGAATACAGCTACAACACACTCCTTATTCGCTTGGGCTTTCCTGACTTCAGACTCCAGGCACAGCAGTGGATCTAAAGTACTCCGCCCTCTTCTAAACCCACTCTGATAAGGAGTCATTAGTTCATTTTTCTCAACATAGTATGTCAGCCTTTCTGTTATCATTCTTTCCATAATTTTACACAAGTGCGATGTCAGAGCTATAGGTCTATAACTGCCTGGACTGGTTGGATCTTTCCCAGGTTTTCTAATAGGAATAATTACAGACTCTTTCCATATTATTGGCAGCTTCCCTTTCTCCCAAATCTTATTATACATCTCCAGCAGCTTTCCTAATGCAAAATCACTTAATTTGGTCAACATTATATAGCATACATTATCTTTCCCAGGAGCAGTCATTTTACACTTACTTAATGCTCTTCTCAACTCTTGAATAGAAAAAGGTATATTTACAACACTCTGCGACGAATGTCTTTCTTCATATACATTAGGATGTTCATCTAACACTTCCTGCCTCCTGATCTTACCTTCTTCTGTCAAATGTTCCGAAGAATGAACTTTGACAAAATTCTTAGCTAGAATTTCTGCCTTCTCCATAGCACCGGTGGCAATTTCCCCTCCATTCTCTAACACTGGCAGGTTACTCTGCTGTCTTATTCCCCTCATCTTCTTAACCATTCCCCATACTTTATCTAATGGTGTAGTTCTCCCAATACTTGAACAGAATCCTCTCCAACACTCCCTTTTTGCTCTTTTAACAATGTTCCTTACCTGAGCCTGTGCCTTTTTATATTCTAATAAATTGTGTAATGAATGTGTCTTTCTTAGCTTTCCAAACAGCCTGATTTTGTTTCGGATTGCATCATTACATTCTTTGTTCCACCACGGTACCATCTTAACACATTTACTAAGTTTACCAGTTTTATCCCAATAGTTTGATTAGCGCTTTTAATTATATTTGAAGTAAATTGCTCATTTATTTCATCAATACTTCCTGCCATATCAATCTGATCAAATTCATTATCACACAATTTAACAAACATCTCCCAATTTGCTTTAGAAAAAGTCCATCTCAACCACATGACTTATATCAAACTTGATTATAATCGGAAGATGATCACTCCCAATACTGTTATTTGCCAATACTTCCCAACTGCTACCCGAAGCTAATTCACTTGTTACAAGAGTTAGGTTGATCGCAGACTCTGTTCCATCTCTAAAATTGAGTCTTGTACCTTGCCCATTATTTAAACAAACTAATTCCTTTGCCTCCATTAAGTCCTCCACCACCTGTCCGTTGTAATCTGTTGATCTCCCTCCCCACATTGTATTATGTGCATTAAAATCACCACACCATATTATTTCATTTCCTTGGCAAAGACTGTCTAATTCCTCTATTTTGAGTTTATTACATGGATTATAAAAATTTAGGACACTAATTTTCCTTTTATTAATCCAAACTTCTACACCCACTATTTCTACATCATGACTGTTCTTAAATGTTAGCCTACTATAAGACATTACTTCTCTGATAAAGATTGCACATCCCCCTCCCTGGCCATCATTTCTATCTTGTCTTGTATATCCCCCAATAATGAAGTCCAAATTAGTCTTCAGCCATGTTTCTTCAATACAAATAACGTCTGGTTTTTCTTTTTACTGATATATATAGGTCTTGAATTCTTGTCCATTTGCAATAAGGCTTCTAGCATTCCACTGCAGAATGAGAAAAACCATTAATCTACTCACTAATCTGTGAATCATCATTATTGGGGGCTAGCATATCATGCATCATTTCAACGGTTATATCCTTTATCCCCAAAAATGCACCTGCTGCTTCCACTATTGTTTTCAGTCTCGACCTCTTTTTTGTTTGTTGCAAAGCAACATTCACCACTTTGCCAATAAAGGCCACAAATGTGTACTTATTAACAATCAATGCATCCTCTCCTATCACACATTTATGTGAACACTTTGTATAGCTTTCCTTTTCCTGTGGGAGTTTGGGAAAATCTTTTGAAGAGAACATACTTGCTGCTACTTTCCTAGCTATGTTTAGTGAAACCTTTTCTGTTGCTTCAGCATATGAGACTTTATTTTGCACTTTGTATCTCTGCACCTCCTTGGCCCTTTTCTGCACTTGATACGCAGCACTATGTTCCCTACCACAGTTACAACATTTCACCTTAGCACCTGCAGCACAACTACCATATTCATGTTCCCCCGCATATGTTGGACACCTGGGCTTAGTTGCTTTGCACTTGTCTGCCACATGCCCAAACCTTTGGCATTTAAAGCACCGCAGAGGTTTAGGGATGAATTCTCTTACTGGAAAGCTCATGCAACCGATCATTATCTTCTGTTGAATTGTTTCTTCAAACTGAAGAAGAACAGACAAACTATCCACTATCTTACCCTGATACCTAGTAGGAAGACGCTTAACTACAGACACTTTCATTACATTACATTACATTTGGCTGACGCTTTTATCCAAAGCGACTTACAATAAGTACATTCGACCAGGAAGACACAACCTTGAAGAAAACAGAATCATATAAGTACATCAGGTTTCATAGAGCCAAACATTTCAAGTGCTACTCAACTGGCTTTAGGTAAGCCAGTCCTTTATTAGTATAAAAGTTCTTCGTTAATAGTTCTAACGCTCGAAGTGGAGTCGAAAGAGATGAGTTTTCAGTTTGCGCCGGAAGATGTGCAAGCTATCTGCCGTCCTGATGTCAATGGGGAGCTCATTCCACCATCTTGGAGCCAGGACAGCAAACCCACGTGTTTTCGCCGATGGGAACTTGGGTCCCCCTCGCAGCGAGGGCGCAACGAGTCGTTTGGCTGATGCAGAGCGTAGTGCACGCGCTGGGGTGTACGGTGTACGGTTTAACCATGTCCCCCCTTTAATTTCTTTCTTGAGTTCTTCT